TCCTGGCCAACAACCCCCCCCCCCAGAAAAAACATTACTCATTCACTTCATGGCTGTAACAACTTTCAAAAGGGGAATTAGATGGGTACTTGAAAAGGAGAAACTTGCAAGGATATGGGGAAAGAGCGGGGGGGGAGTGGGACGAGTTGGTAGCTCTTCCAAAGAGCCAACACAGGCACGATGGGCTTAATGGCCTCCTTCTGTGCTGCAATAGATTTCTAAGAGCAACTGGGTTGTGATGTGTGGGGCAGATTTACTTAAAGGTTGAATTGGAATATTATAATATCGGGGATGTGGGAGCTGGCAGCCACAGTCAGAGCTGGGGGAGCACAGGAGTCATGGGGGGAAGGGGGAAATGTGGCTGAGGGGGTAGGTGGGAGCAGTCCCAGACGTGGGCAAGGAGTGGAGAGTAGAGTGGGAGTTGGGGCAGTTGTGGGGAGTAGTGTGGGGCAGGAAATGGAGTAACCGCGGCTGAAATCTTGTACTTTCTCATGTTGGTACAAATTTCCTCTTTCTCCAGATCTGGACTTTTTCTCTCTGTTTCAGAATGATGCTCAGGTGGGTGTGAGCACCGCAGTCACAACAACAACAACACGTTACATTTACACACAACAACACGTTACATTTACACACAACAACACGTTACATTTACACACAACACGTTACATTTACACACAACACGTTGCATTTGCACACAACACGTTGCATTTGCACACAACACGTTACATTTGCACACAACACGTTACATTTACACACAACAACACGTTACATTTACACACAACACGTTACATTTACACACAACACGTTACATTTGCACACAACACGTTGCATTTGCACACAACACGTTGCATTTGCACACAACACGTTACATTTGCACACAACACGTTACATTTGCACACAACACGTTACATTTGCACACAACACGTTACATTTGCACACAACACGTTACATTTGCACACAACACGTTCCATTTGCACACAACACGTTACATTTGCACACAACAACACGTTACATTTGCACACAACAACACGTTACATTTGCACAGCACCTTTCACGTCGGGAGGATGACCCAATGCGCTGGACGGTCAGGGATTTGGACCTGAACTGGGGGTTGGGATCAGAGAAGGGTGAAGGACAGGGAGGGTGGGGGTGAGGTGGTGACCGAAGAGGTGGGTCTTCAAGCAGGCGAGAGAGGGAGCGAGGCGGAGGCACTGTGAGATGGTGTTCCTGAGGGTGGGGGCTGAGAGGCTCACAAATGTAACGCGTAAAGGTAACCTGATTGTCGATGGTGGATATGACGGTCAGTGCTATCGCGAGGGTTAGGGGGGGCCCTTTATTCAGTGTTGCCCTGGGAGTTCTGATGTGAAGCGCACGCTATCGATGTAAAATTGCTGCTGAATTAGTTTGAGTTTGGAGAGTAATCTGTGAGGGCACAAGGTGAGGGCTGTGGTTCTTTCCAGCCCTGTAGATGGGTCGTTGTGTTTCACCCACATATATTCACAGTCCGTTCACTTCACATATATCCTGTGAAGCGCTTGATAAGACCCTATTTGAAACGCAAGGATTATTATTATTTCTTGTCTCTGCTCACTGCTCTCTCTCTCTCTCTCTCTTTGTCGCTCTATTACAGTGTTGCCAGTCTATCTTCCTGGATAACCTGACGTCAGCGGTCAGCTCGCCCAGCCTGACTCCCACCACCATGACCGGGGCCATCATCTCCTCCTCCCAGCACCACGAAAGCAACGCTGCCAGGGGGGTCGAGACCGGGGTGATCACCGGGGGAGGGGGCGGGGGCGGGGGGAGCAACGCACCGGATATCATCTCCTTGGATTGATGTCTTTGACAGGAATGACTGACTGACTGGAGCAGTGCAACCAAGATTGATCGGAAAGAAGGAGTTAGAGGAACAAAGGGCTTGATGTGAACGACCCATTGACCAGGAGGTTCACCCACCAGGGAACCATCGATGGCATTTCTGAAGGTCCACGTGGCCTGGTTACTGGGCCCGGCCAGCGGTGAGGAGGGTCCACTTAAACACCGAGCCCAGCGGGGACAGAGGATCAGAGATAAACTCTTACTGTGACAAATGGATGCAATCGGCTGTGGTTACAAGTCAGCAGACTTGTTCACCAGACTCCGGGACCCCTTCCTCTGCAGCCCCCCCCCCCCCCCCCCACCCAACTACCCTCTCCCCCCCACCCCCCCAGCAGGAAAAGACAACGTTACATTCTGCAGACCGGCTGGAATCTGTCGGCAACATTTGTTGAAGGAAACCACAGCAGCACTGTCTGATCAGCGTGCGGATCCAGAGGATGAGCAGAGACAGAGAGTTACCCCTGGACCATGCTCTTTTCCCCCCCCCACACACACACACACGCACACCCCACCCCGAACTCTCGAATGCGACAAACTGAGCCACAAAAAGCAAAGGGTTAATATTTCCCGAGTGAGGCTATGGCTGAGTGCGGGACGTTAACCCTTTCACCTTTGACCGTGTAAATAGATTTTATATATAAATGTGTACAGATTATCACAACAAAAACTTTTTAAAAGAAAAAGTTTCTCTGAGGGGCGAGGCTGCTCCAGGAGAGGGTTTTTTCTCTCCCGTAACTTTGTTTTTTGGGGGAAAAAGCTCCACTGTGAATTGTTTCTGACTCCGGGGTACAGGATGGGCGTCTGGCTGTCAACTCGGCTCCCAAGGAGGTCCCTTCCGTTTGCCTTTCTCAGAGGGAAAGCAATGTTTATTTTCTTTCCTTTCTCATGCGCAGTGGTTAAAGCGTGAGGGCTCGATTCCCGGACAGAGCAAATCCTTAGGCAAGTTTCTTTACTCCTTACGCACGCCTCTGTTTACCTAGCATTAAGTAGGAACCCTTTTTGATTGGCGGATCACTTTCCGGGGGTAATAATCCCTCCCAAGAATAAATAAATTTGGTTATTCAATCCACAACTGTTTGTGGGACACTGCGGTGCACAATTGGCTGCCGCATTTTGCCTATAAAATGCACAGTCGATCCTGTGAAGGGCTTTGAGGCGTCCCTACAATGTGATAAGGTGCCGAATCAAATGGAAGGAGTATTATATATCCTTGATGTTTGGTAAAGAGCTCCCTCCGTTGCCCTTTGGTGCCTGGTGCATCAGCTCAGAGGTAAACCAGAGGCTATGGCAGCTGAGGTCAAAGCAGAGGGATCAGCCTGAACGGTTTACTCCTATCTACCAGGGATCAACCCTCCTTAACAATAATAATAATAATAATAATCCTTGCATTTGATATAGCGCTTTTCACGTCGGGAAGACTTCCCAAAGCGCTTCACAGAACACACCGTAAAGGGAATTGACTGTATATTTGTGGGCGAACGCGGCAGCCAATTGCACACAGCAATGTCCCACAAACAGTCGTAGATTGAAAATGACCAATTTATTATTGATTTTGGTTTTGGAGGGATTATTATTAGGCTCTGTGTGGAGTAAGGAAACTTGCCCAAGGTTTGGCCCTGCCTTCCCTCCCTCCCTCGATCAGCATGATCCAGGTTTCCACATAAAGGAACAAATACAAATTAAACTCCAGTAATTTCCTTTTTGTTTGATAGGTGCATTTCACCCACAAAGTATATACAATTCACTTCACAGTATGTCCTGTGAAGTGATTTGAGACGTCTCACTGACGTGATAAGGCATATATCAAGTACAAGGATTATTATTATTATGGTTTGGAGTGGGGGTCGGGGTGAAGAGAGAGGGGGGTTGGGGGTAGACAGAGAGAAAACTCAGCCAGGAATAATAGGGCTGTTTTTATGTTACTGTATGTTCGGAACTTTTTGTGAATCCAAAAGCATTGTGTGACAGAATGAAACTTGATGGAGATTTCCTTCGGGTGCTGTATGTGTGCAGCGGAGAGGGAAGGACGGTTGCTTTCGCGACCCAGTAGTCGACGATGCTGTTTTAAAACAGTTTATAATTTTTTAACGTCAAACGAGTTTTTTTCGACACAAAGGGGATTCAAGATGCCAAGTAATCCCAACCCAATTTCAACCCTCCACCAGCCCAACCTTCTCTCTCCCTCACCCACATTTGAGTGTGACTGAAGAATTGTTGCACAATTCTCCGCCATCTTACGTTGTTGTTGTTGAAAGACGAGAACCGTCTCGGGCAGGACTTCGGGGCTCCGTGATTGATCCTTTTTTTAAGGTTCCTCTCCTGCACGAGCCTTGGCAGAGGAATTCTCTGCGCTTCGTTCTTTGCGTTTGACCTCTGGGTGTTGAGGAAAGCTCCCCTCCCTTCCTCGCCCAGAGAAGGCTCCTGTTTGGGGAGAAGGTGTGAGGGGTTATGATGTGGGAGGAACTGTTCTGTTCATTATCTTGTGAGATTGACCAATAAACCAGTGTTTGCTCATGCCCATGGGCTGGCTTGGAGACTGAGTGGGGTTAGCCCCCATATATATGTCCATGTGGAAAAGTTGAGGGTCCGCACCAACGTGGGTGAAGATGTCGTTTGGCAGATTGTTTTTGGGGCCACCGATGCTTTTTAGTGTTGTCGCGTAAGTCTAAATGAGATCTTGAGCCAATGTGAAAAGCATCATTGTAGGTGTGAGGAGAGTGACACTGGGGGCAGTCGGTGTGGGAGGGGCGCTGGGGGCGGTCGGTGTGGGAGGGGCGCTGGGGGCAGTCGGTGTGGGAGGGGCGCTGGGGCAGTCGTGTGGGCGCGGGCGTGGTGGGAGGGGCGCTGGGGCAGTT